TGCCTTCTATCTTTTGTTTGAGACAGCATCTCTCCTTGGCCTGGCAAGTTAGTCAAGTAGGCTAGGCTAGCTGGCCATAGGAGCTTCCAAGACGATTCCTGTTTTGGGATGTGCCCATGAGTGCAGTGCAGGTATCTGAGGAGGTCAGAGGTTTTGGATTCCCTGGAGCAGGAGTTACAGGCAGGGGAATGGCCTAATATTGGTGCTCGAACTTCAACTTGGGTCTTCTTCAAGAGTGGTATGAATATGTGCTCTTAGCCACTGAGCCATTTCTCTAGCCCCATAGAGGCATTTTAATTATTCATTTTTTTTCATGGTACATTTTGTATTATTCCATTATAGGTCACAGTTTTAAAACATCATTTGGTCTAAATTTAAAGGGGAAAAGTTGAGCAAGAGTAAAATTTTGAAGAGATTTTCATTCTCCTTTCTGACCTTGAAATTGGATTTGAAGGAGAGTTTAAGCTATTATACTGAAACTACATAGCCCTTAATAGAGTGAAGCATTTCTATGTTCTATGAGATGAAGGTATTAGGTATCATGGCTTGTCCTCTGCTTTGTTGCCTTCAGTTTGGTTGAAGGTCATTTCTGGTTTTGGAGATTAAGGTCTGGTGTCAGCCAGAGGGTCTGTGAATACTTTAAAGCCTGGAGGAAAATAATTCCATGCTTATCTCTTTATCAGCTCCATACTTTGACACAGGGTAAACTGTATGTGCTACTTCCTATACCACTATTATGACCACCTGGATTCAAGATGTAGATTGATGCTTAGGAACATGCAAACTACAATGCTCAGTATCTCTTTGAAAATCTAATTATCATACATAATATTTTAGCTTATCAATAAAAAGAAATACAAAGCTGATCTGGAGATATCTTTGGCCTGTACAACCATATTTAAACCCCAAGATACATACTTGCAGTGCAATTGTTGGCTGAAAGTTGTAAGTTTCGACTATTATTTTTTATCAGTGTATTAACCAGTATATGTTAACAAATTTGTAAATCAGGAGTGGTTGTTATATATACACTTCCTTCATTCTGACAGTTTTCCCTAAAGAGCATACTGATATACGAAAACCAAGTGTAAATTTTGAATTCTAAGCAAGTCTTCCTTGACCAATGCTAAGCAAATAGCTCCCGCCCAGTGAATCTCTTTCCTGTTCATTTTCTTCAGAACACTTCATATTCTCAGCTAATCTACAAACATTATTATGAGTCACATCTTCTGTCTCCTGACTATCATCTTCACACATCTCTTCCAACACTTTCTTTTGCTCTCTTTTCTGATGTTCTTGGATGCCCACAGAAGCTCTTCCACTTGAGCATATTTCCCCAAATACAGGTAAAGTCTGTTTGCTTGCTTTTTGCAGAGCTATTCTCCAATGTCGCAAACTCAGGACATTCCTTCTTGACTATGTATCTAAAACAGCGGCCCTTTGCCAACTCCTTTATCCAGTTTTCTTCTTCTTAACCACAGTTTGCATGTGCTCATATCCCTCTCATTAGCATGAAAACACCATTAGATTTCCTATTTTTCACCTTAGCACCCTCACAGAACTTAAAGCCAGAATAAAGTTGACACTCAAAACTTCTTTAGTAAGTTAATATCTTATTATTTCGTCTCTCTTAACAGACCCTTAAGAGAGTTTGTAAAAACGGAAACCATCTTTCTTGTATTCCCATAGCACCTTGGATGCAACAGGTGATAAATGAATATTCAGTGCATGTGTGAATGCATTGTTGTTTGTGTGGATGACTAAGAAACATTCCTCAGTAGTCCTTAATTATGGATGGAAATTAGAATTATATCTGTTTAGCGTCTCAATGAATGTATACTGATCTCACAATAAGATCTGGATTATAGTAGTAACTCGATAAGTAAGTGAAAAATATCAAGTGAACAGCAACCTGCTCTGGCTACAGCCACCAAGAAGTCTGCATGGCTAGTCTGATGTCTTAATGTCAGACAGAAAATAATTTTGTATACACAGAGCTATGAAAGCCCTAAATTACCCTGTGTATTTCTGGCTAATCTGAATCTTAAAGTCATATTTCTCAGATAAAAACAAAGATGAGAGCTATAGGCTTGTAAGAGTCTTAATTTCAGTTTATCTCTTTTTAATTTGAGATGAGTGAATCTTACTTTTTACCTACAGTTTTCTTTCCTTAAAACATTGCCTTGAAGATTCCAGATGTATATAAATTTGTGCTGTCAAAGAATATCAAGTAAGAATTAGATTTTAACATAAATCTCCCACTTAGCAGTAGAGTAGCCTTAAAAATATCTATCATCATTTCTTTCATGTTTTCTATTTGTAAAATGAAAATACTAGAAAAAGACCAGGAACCCTAAAATCCTGAGATGCTCATATGAGATGAAACAAGAGACATTGTCAAGCAACTTACTTCCTTTCTTCCTGTTGTCCACCATATAATCCTGCTTGTTTAAAAAGCACAGCTTTGAAGAGCAACTGTGGCTGGTGGTAATCCTCCAAGTGAATAGAGGAAAAGTTCATAACCACTGCCACATGCAATCTAGACTAATTTTTTATCACTGAAATATTGTGACTCTATGAATCATATCTCAGTTATCTCTGTCTTTCATTCATTAACACTAACCTACATGTTTTTTTTTTTTTTTATTTTACCAAAAGTCAGGAACTATTGGGAACTGAAAAGTTGGATTCAGAATTAGCCTGACCTCTCAATGAGCTCCACCCACTGGGGGAATTGCAAGGAAGGGTGATAAAGTGCTTTGATGAGGCCAAAATAGTCTGTAAATTTAGAGTGCATCAAAGTGTGCCCTAGCACCACCAGCAGGTGACCAAACACTGAAACCTAAGTTAGGTTAATTTAATTACAGCCTTCTAAAGCTGCAGAGTATGAACATCATCTAATTCCTACTCCTGATATCCACAGAGGTTAACTGATGCAGAAAAACTAAGTCATTTTCTTCTCCAGGAAACGTTTTAAAATCCCACATTTCATCAATCTAATAATGAAATCACCCAGTTAGTCATATTAATATACTATCACAATAAGGAAGAGGAGCAAAACACTTCTATCTACTGACTTCATACACAGCAGTGATGCCAGTAACCCATTGTCCATGGGTTGAAGCCAGTGAGGACTGATGGTGAGTTCATTCACATGTTGGCACAGCTAACCAAGTTTGCTCTCTGAGCTACTGTATGTCACAAAATAAAGACAGGTGCCATTTGGATGTCAATAAGAATAAACTTTAAATCTTGTCTGTTTAGTCCTCTCCTTTGAACAACCAACGGAGGCATCTAGGGGCTGACATAAAATCCCCAGAGTGGAATATTTTTAGGAGTAGCAGTAGCAGGGTATGAACTTGCTCAGGTATGTGATCTGAGAGTTTTTGCTCTAAACATAGAGCTGTTGTTTTACTTGGGATGTTTAATGACTGTAATTTAGTAATGGGACAATGTAAAAGCTCATCACATTAAAATAGAAATACTTGGGAAATCCATAGTTTTTAATAGCTTGCCATCTGCTTGGCCCTTATTGGCAATGAATTTCTCCTGCTTAGTACAGATGCTACTGAGGGTGAAATCATAGACTATATGATGGATTACTGAGCTCTTTAACTACTGTTATTAATTTGCTAGTTTGTAAATCAACATTTCCCAACGTTAAAAAAATCAATTATTTCTTAACTCTTACCCCAAATAAGGTTGCTATGGGCACCACATAGTATCTGTTCTGGTGCGAACATACTGAGTTAAAGCCACCCTGGATCTCTGCAAATTAAAAACCTCAAACAGTTTCCCCGGCTCTTCCTCGGTACTCCCAGCAGGATGCTCTTTTGCCTTGCTGGGCCTTCTAGTTTAATCCGCTAGAAGAAAAAATTCTAGAGAGACAAGGACTAAATCATTTTCCTCTTAGCACAGCATTTCCAAATGGTCGCCCTGGGTCCTAAACCCGGTCGCTGAGGACGGAAACTAGAGGTGCCCTCTTTCTGCAAACAGGGATTCCGGCACCTTCCTAACTGGACGTGGGAAACAGAAAGGAAACTCCCACTCATAGCTAGGTACTACCTCGGCCATGCACCAGGCAGGCCTGGATCCCAGTGGAGAAACCAGTCCCCAGGCTTGGGGAGGTTTAGGGAGGAAGCAAAGCAAAGACTGTTTCCCATTCAAGTCAAAGGGCAGGACGCACAGGTCACAGGTGAGAAGTTAAAGTGTTACCTAGCCTGCACTTTGTCTCTGCAGCACTTCAATGGTGAAGAAAAGGAAAGCTTAGCTGGAGCGGGCGACAAGAGTTGCTACCACCCCGGAGCTGCAGGGGAAAGGAGCAGCACGACCCCCGCGGCAGCTGGGGACTGTCTAAGCCCCGCCGAGCCGGCGCTGCTAGCGGGATGCTGTGTCCTGGACCCCCCCCAGGCTGCCTGGCTCCGCGCTGCCCTTTTGGTAGAGAGCAGCGCCCTGCCGCCGCAACCCAGCCGCGGTGCACCCAGCCACCCGGGAGATAGCCCTGCCAGCCCCCGGCGGCCTCACTGGCACCCGCAGCTGCTTAGACCCTCGCCTCCAGCGCGGAGACAAACTTCCTTCCTTCGGGTTCCCCAGCTGGTAGTTGGCAGGCGGCTCCCCAGCCAGTCTCATCGCGTCTCCCGCAGGGCAAGCTTTCTCTGCCCCTCTCCAACCTACAGCTCCAGGACCCGGTCCCTGCTCATCCTTTCCAACAAAGCCAGGGGCATGAGGCGACCCGGCGAGGGACAAGGACTGGAGCCAGAGCCTGAGCGTCCGAGCCTGGCCAAGGCATCCTCGCCTGGGCGAGTGCAGTATGAAGGGGTAGCCGGGATCCGGCAGAGAGAAGAAAGTGTCCTGCTCCAGGCGCTAAAGCCTTTTGGGCTGGTCCTCGCTCTCTGTGTCTCTCCTGCCTGAGCGCATCCTGCCGGTCCGGTGGGACTGGGCAGGGCGGAGGGGGAAGCAGTGCGTATGTAGTGGCCCCGGGGGGCGAACCGCTCCCTTACCTCTGTCCAGAGTAAGCGGCTGGACCACTGTCAATGTCGCCATGTCTGCCGTGGGAGCCGAAGTGACGCTCGGCTTCAGCATCAGCGGCGGCTTGTAGTGAGAAAAAGAGGAGGAGATTGAGGGCGGGGGTGGAGAGGGAAGACGGAAAGGAAGGGGAGGAGGGGGAGGCAGGAAGGTGGTGATAGAGGAGAAGAAAGCTTGGGTGGGTTGGAAGCCAGATGGAGACGCAACTGTTCCGTGGTAGCAGATCTTGAGACGCAGCGCCAAGCGGGGCAGGTATCCTAAAGCGCCTGTGTGGCCAGGCGTTTGGAAAGGAATGCTCTGCCCTAACACCAAAGTTCCACCCACCAGGAGCACTGGCAGGGTGCAGCTGGTTTGCTGTCTTTCAACTTTCCACTCAAACAGAATGGTCAGAATGGACTTATGCTCAGGGAACGAGAGAACAAGGAGAGGGGCGAGGCATAGGGAGATGGGGATAGAATTTTCTCAGAAAAGAAATTGTCAGCAGAGTAATCTCACATCCCCTTTAAAGAGAAAATGCCGTTAGAAATGGGAAGTGTTAGATATCATTGCAGTTGCTGTTAATTTCAGTTAAAGGTTTTTAGAATGTGGACTTGTAACAGTATGCAAGGTAACTGACACAGGGACTGGTTTCTATGCATTTCTTTAGGAGTTAGGTATGCTGCCTAGGAAATAACCTGCCTTTACAAACCAACTTCTTTGAAATGTTTTTAAAGATCAGTTTCTGCAGCTGAAAAATATAACTTTTCGTGTTGATTCACGAGCAGTGCTTATTCAGAGGTGTTACCGATTAATTAGCATATGTGACAGGCATTGAACCAGGAATGTTCCTTCCATGCCCTGTACTATATCCTAACGTGGGGATTCATTACACCCCTTGTTAGCCTCTGAGTTAGTGGGATATTGTACTAAAAAGCTCATTTCAGAGTCAGTTGACTGGGGTTCAGTTCCTGGAGTCTTTAAATACTGCATGTGAGTCCTTTGTCCTTTGTCCCAACTTTCACTAAGCTTTGGCCAAGCTCATTTCCAGCTCAAACCATGAAGAAGTGGGGAGAAGCCTTCTCTCAGTATAATAAATGAGTGGGTACAGGACTGGAGATGACAAGACTGCCTTCTCCATCCTCTCCCTTCCCTGTGACAGACAGCCCAATCCTCTGGGTTACCCACAAACCCTCAAAGGCAGGCACTGTGTTACAGCAATGATTTCTCAAGATATTTTTCATCTTATGGTACAAACACAAGGGGCAAAAAGCGGCATTTCACCAGTGATTGAGGAAAGGCAAAGATGATTAGTCATTCATTCAACAGACCCTAGAGATACACAACACAGGAGCTCCATGTAGTCATCTCATCTTTAAGTGTGTTAGGAAGACCCCTGATCTTGAAATTCAAATCTTAGCCAGTCATGTGATCTGCCAAAGCCACAGTCTCCCAGGAATCCTGTTTTCTCATCTCTCAAACAAAGGAAAGAACTTGATTGAGTCTCACAGAGAGTCTGTAATAGGAGGAATCTGATTCTACTTTGCAAGCTCACTGATATTTGTGAGCATTTTATGCGTTCGTAGATATGAATACACTGGGGCTGGAGAGAGAGAGTTCAGCTGTTAAGAGCACTGGCTGCTCTTTCAGAGGACCCAGGTTCGGTTCTCAGCACCCACATGGAGGCTAACAACTGCTTGTAACTCCAGTTCTAGGGGCTCCTATGCATTCTTCTGACCTTCATGGGCATTGCATGACATCATTGTACTTACATACATGCAGGCAATACACTCATACACATAAAATAAAAATAATAAATTATATATATAAATAATTATACTTTGTGGGGCTGGAGAGATGGCTCAGCAGTTAAGAGCATGTACTGCGCTTACAAAGGACATACGTTCAGTTCTCAGCACCCACAATGAGCAGCTCACAACCAACTATAACTCCAGCGCCAGGGGATCCAACCCGCACACACATGTCTACATGCAGACCTATCTGCATAGGCACATATGCACATAATTAAAAATAAAATAGATCTTCAAACTGAATATATTTGAGAACATTAAAGAGTATAAAAATTTATTAGTATAAACAATTAACTTCCTGAACAGAGTAGCAAGACCTGTGGTAGAGGCTCATCATGCAAAGGTTAAATAGACTCAGCCCTTTCTCTCCACTTAGTTCTAGTTGGGTGACAAGTAGTAAAATAGCATGAAATTCTCTTTCAGGAAGTGCCTAAGCACCATAGAAGGGAAGCACTGTGGGAGGTCAGAGAAGGAACCAGTAACTTTAATTGATTATCATTATACACATGTCCTGAAGGGAACAACAGAAAGTAATGCAATTGTGTGCTTGATAGCCAGATGCTTTTTGTAGGGGTTTGCACAAAATGTTGAAGCTGTTTCAATGATTGAGGCTGAAAAACATATACAAACCCCTGGCCACTAATGTAGCTCTTCGGATAAAATACTTGATCAAAAATGTATATTTCAGCAGCTTGAGTCATAAGTCTAAAAGCCATAATTGTACCTATTTCAACATAAATCTCAGATGTGAAGTTTATGAAGGCGGGATTTTTGGCTTTTTTTCCCTAATGGATCTCCAGCACCAACCATACTTCTTGACTGATGTCTTGAATCATTTCATTGAAAATTTGCTATATATTGTTTCTGTATGTCTCTTTCCCCCCAAGGACTAAAAGAGAAAGTAAAAGGAAGCACAATTTATTATGTATTTAACAGTTATTGTTTCTATTATTGGTAAATACAGTGTCTTTAGCTTATTTCTACATGTTTGTAGAAAATTATAAATCAGCATATGTAAGAAATGGTTTTCATGAAATGTATCTGTAAGCAAATGTCTGTTATTGTCTTTCTGAGACCTGTGGAGATACAGGGGTTTCCTTAATTTCTTCTTGTGTTTGGATACATGTGTCTATGCTTAGGTCTCATGCACAAAGGCCTGGTCACTCCAGTTCCAACCACAGTGTTTCATCAAGGTCAGTGTATTTGACATATCCACATGCTGTTTCGTTTCTGTGTATTTATCAGAGTTGTTAAGATATATGTAATTGCAGGGCTGGAGAGATGGCTCAGTGGTTTAGAACACTGGTTGTTCTTGTAGAAGACCAGGGTTCCTATCCCAGCACCCACATAGCAGCTAACAACTGTCTATAACTCCAGTCCCAGGGGATCCGACAGCCTCTTCTGCCCTCCACAGGCATTACACGACACAAGTGCACTTACCTACATACAGCAGGCAATACATGCATACACATAAAATTAAAAAAAAATAAATAAAAATTTTAAAAATATATGCAATTGCATTTTAATCTTAACTTGTTTGGTTATCCAACCATCATATTATTTCCTTAAAAGATGTGTAGTTTTTTATTGGTAACTATATTTTCAGTATAATTAATTAATTTAATAAATACTAAGTATCTTGTATGTTCAAGGGTCGATACTAGGTTTGTTACTGTCCCAATATTTCCAGTTTAGAAAAGCAAATATTATTGTCCCATTTTGGAGATAACTAAACTAAAACTCAGAAAGGTTAACTGACTTGCTTAGTAATGCTAGTACCTAGACAGAGGAACTTCTGTGTTTTCTGGGAAGAAATGTAGGATTTTTATCTTATTGCCTCTTTTATGTTACAGGTTCAGACATTTATTTCAGAGCAGCAAATGTGCATGCCCGTGTGTGTGTGTGTGTGTTTGTGTGTGTGTGTGTGTTCTCTCTTGTGTCTCTCTCCATCTTTTCCTCCCTCCCTCCCTCCTTCCCTCTCTCCCTCCCTCCCTCCCCCCTTCCCTTCCTCCCTCCCTCTCTCTCTTGATTGAGATACAGTCAGAAGGAGGACTGTATGGAGAAAAGCATTTGGGTTTAAATCTGAAGCAACAGAGCTAATATTAAAACAACTGCCTACTTCAAAATATAAAATCTGTTCTTGTTAACAAATTGATTCAAAGCTAGTTAAGGTCTCCTTCTCTTAATTGAATCTTTTAAAATCATGTGGTAGAATCAAGAGGTTTGCAAAAAGCTTTAGCATACCAAGAAAACGTGTTTAGTTAGATTTTAAATGGAGTATAATAAGCACAGCTTCATATGATAAAAACAGCACCCTCAAACTGAAACTCTTTCAGGCTGAGTGTTAGAAATGATTTTTGACTGATTCAAACTATTTTATTTTTTAGTTCACATGACTTTGTCAAAACAGCATTAAACTAAAACAAAGAATCAACCTATATTTCAATGTATAAATGTTTGTTTTTGACTCATCATAAGTAGAATATCTTATATTTATTTTTTCTTGTATTTATTTTGCTAACTACTCATCTATTGCTTCTACAGATTCTTTCTCTATTTACTAGAAGCTAGACACTGTCCTAAGCACTGGGGATACTAAAGTGCATGAAAAAAACATTGCTTTTATTTTTTATGTTTTTGTATTATTGAGGAAAAAGGACAATAAAGAAACCAAAATAGCAGTTATTAACTAAATTCTATGCTTATGCAGAGAATGAAAAAGTTGGTAGTTAAATTAGTTCAAGGATAATGTCGGGTTTACTAAGCAGAGGTATAAACTAGAGTGTTCTAGACAGCAAGAGAGCGAAGCCAAAGTGGGAGGATGGATATGTTTGGGTAGAATAAAGAGTTTGTTGTGGACTGTCCAAAAAACAAAACAAAACAAAAACAAAAACAAAAAAACCCCAAGACTGAGGAAGGCCATTGAGAATCAGATACTGGAAGGTAATATAAGTAGCAGAAATGTGGTGACCTTTGTGCCAATCACAAAATAAACTGCAAATAATGAAAGGTGAAAATTAAGAAAAAAATGCTGCAGATTCTACAATAAAAACTGCTAACATCAGAATTAAGTGAAGAGCTGCCAGAATTGGATAGCAGGAAATTAAAGATGAAATGGAAATATGAAAAGTCAATTCTAATTATTTTTGATTTACCTGAAATGAAATTTAAAAAGAACTTTGAAAGAAGTAAAGCTGAAATTTGGATAATTATTCTTCAGTGATAGGACCTTATCTGTATTTCTTCACATTATCACTTATGTGAATTGCAATTATAATATTTAATTTTATTCTGTTTCTGTATGGAAAAACATATAATTAATGACTGCAAAGTCTTCTTGATTTGTGAGTGTTTTGTGTCTGTTTGATGAACCAAATAGAAAATGATATTTTTCTTTCCTTTTGAAATGAACTTCTATTTTCACAGTTGGAAGTCAAGGGTGATCTTTTAGTAATGGAATTTAAAATTAATGCTTTTGAATTTCTTCCCTTTTGATTATATGTCTCAACCTCATATTT